CATAGAGGAGAAACAATAATGTACAGTATGTGGAAAATAATGTGTTTTTTTTACTTTAAACCGCATAAACACATTTCATTACACCAAATACACAAAATAATGTTCTTTTTAGCAGCATCATATGACCCCTTTAACATTTGCTCTGTCCTACGTCCATGACACCGATGCTCTCCGATTGACTTTGCCCTATCAGTGCGGCTCCCATGAAAAAAATAGTGAAGACCACTGGTTTATAATGTGATTGTTATGGATTTTTTTTTTAATCAAGCCATTTAGACTAGGGCTGTTTGAGTTGCAGTTAATAAATAAAACTAAAACAATTTTTGTTACTTGAAATAAAATAAACATTAACTGGGGGGGGGGCTTCTCTTGTATTCAAAGTGTACTTGCATTTAGTTTTTTTCGTATTAGCTTCTACACTAATGGCAGGTAAATATTTACTTGTCCGTATGGTCTTACTCTCTTAAAATTCAACAAAATCAGCCAATGGCAGTGAGTTGCACGACGGTTAGTTGGGTTTATCACAACGGGGTCATGTGTTGTTAACAGAGAAGCTAATGCTGAAAATAAATAAAACTGCAAATACATTTTGAAAATGAGATGAACCATAAAGCTACAAGCACATTATCAAAACGAAGAACATTTTGACCAAGACTGCATTACTTGGTCAGAAGTAACTGAACATCACATTAAATACTCCACAAGTACATTTAGCTGTGGTGTTTGGGTATCCACTATCTGGCAGCTTTAAAAGTCACTTAAATGAATAATCAAACCCTCCAAGTCACTGAATTTTACTGAGAGTGGTCATTTGTGGATCATAACAAGCCTGGTCGTTATATAAGAGCAGACATTTGCAGTCGCATATGTTCCTGTTGGACCAGCATCCTCAAACAAAACATCAGCTGGAGCCCGACCAGAACGCTAAACAAATCGACCTAAAAACTAAACAAATCGATATTTCAGAGACAGAGCTTGAGGCCAAAGAGTGTCGTATTTTTAATGGGGGCTTAAGTCGGGTTAATGTATAAATTTATGGGCAAACACAAGAAAAAACAAACAAAAAAAACATGCTGTGACACATAAGCACTACTGACGCAGGAAAGAGTTCACAGAAATGCGGCGCTTAAACAAACTGACCTTGACAATTGCTCGGGTCACATGATGTGCTTGTCTTTTGAACCCTGGCATAAGCGTTAAAGAAACCAAAACACATTAAGAGTCGGACATACAGGTATTTCTGTAGAGCTCAGAGGTAGCCACCATTTGAGAGCCAGCAGCAGTGTTGCCAACTAATTTTCAGGGGAAGTTGCTAAAGGAAGGTTGATTTGTTGCTAAAAGTTGCTAAATGACGCAATGTCATTGCGCGGTGACGTCATTGCGTTATCACGATGCAAAATTGTGTCACTGCATCAAATCTCAGCAAAACAAAAAAATTTTTTATATGTTAATTTAGATGTGTTTATAAAGTCATATAAATGCATAATATAATATTAAAATATAAATAACTAATTTTAAATACAACATTGAATTATTTAACACTTTATTTTTTTAACAATTACAATTTAAGTTTATTTTTATTAGCTAGTAAATTAGTAAAACTACTCATTCTGAACAGTTATAGTTTTAAGCAGTGTATTAGTAGTTCGTATGCTACACTCTAAGAAAAGTCTGTAAAAATAGGGCAAAATCAATTAATATGAAGGAATTTTCCGTAATTATAATTCACACGTTTTGTTTTACCTACATTTTTAATTACGCATTGCATTTTGTGTTTTCGGGTTACAGGGTTACAATGGATAATGTCCTGGAAAATTACTACATTTTTCTAGATATTTTTCTTACCGTGCACTAACTGATCAACAAACTCAAGTACAAGCTACTAACAAGGTGTATCATAAATGAACAATTATTCAATTATTATTATTATTATTAAATTAAACAATTGCTAATAGCAGCCAACTTAATTCATGTGAATTGTGTACTGCTAGGCACCTTTGGTTTCCTCTTTTTGTGTAATTTAGATGGAAAATGTGTGCCTTTTTTAATCGTTTGAGTCACTTATCAAAAGTTGCTAAATGTTGCCAAATAAACTTTAAAAAATAGCTAAATTTGTTGCTAGGTGCTTTTGGAAGAAAGTTGCTAGGGTAGTCTGAAAAGTTCCTAAATCTAGCAACAAAATTGCTAAGTTGGCAACACTGGCCAGCAGGTGAAGATCCCAGTGGAAGATCCTGGTATAGGTGATATCATGAAAGGACTGCTCACCCTCACTGAAAATGTAATGGGTCTATTTTCTCCATGGTCGGTTTTTTTCTAGAATTTTCCTGTGCTACACTTCTCTCCCTTCACACTACTACTGCTGCTGTCTGTCTGTCTGCTATCACAGCTACTGGAAACCAAAAGAAATGAATGTCAAGTTAAGTCATTCAGAAATAAAAAAAACAACCAAAAAGCAAAACACAGAACCTCTCAATGCAGGAGTCACACTAGATAACTAAATGTTAGTTTCCGTTTTAGATTTTGCTCATTTATTACACAAATTAACGGTGCTATTCTAGTAAGTGTTTGACTTTTGATTACAATATAAGTCAACGGTTACATTCTTTTTTTTGAACGAAATTAATATTTTATTCAGAAAGGATGCATTAAATTGATCATAAATGACCGAAAATACATTTGTTACAAAAGGAAAAAAAAGCTAAAAAAAAATGCTTTTTTTTATCTTTCTATTCATCAAAACAGAACAGCATCAAATAAAATATCAAGGAATAATAGGAAATAAAAAGAAAACACAAGTATGATTGCCCTTGTATTGAAAATGACAATAAATGACTACTTAAAATGTCAATCAAAAGTCAAACACACTGCTTATTCGCATGAAGTACATGCAACACACAAATTTGTCTTGTTTCATTACTTTTTTTTTTTTTTTTTTTTTTACCATGTCCTAACTAGGGTACAGCAGGTAATGTTTACAATATGCCTAGTATTTTGGATGTTATTTAGCCCCACACACTTTGAAAAAAAAAAAAAAAAAAAAGTCCGCTAAAGAACAGGAAAGTTTCTCAGATCCCATTTTCGCAATGAACAAAAATCTGTTTTTGACATTTATTACAGAGAACTAAATAGGGAAGGAAAAAAAAAAACTTACAATATTTATCAAAGCAAATAAAATAAATATAAATAAAACAGATGTATATATATATATATATAAAAAAAAACAAGTGACATTTTACATCTCTCAAAAATAAAAAGTGGTGGGATTTAGAATATCTACCGAACATCACCAAGAATACTGATTTACCACATGATTTTTCCATATTTATTTAGCATTAATCATTACAAATACACACATTTCCCTGAGGAAATTAACCACTCCAGCTTTAAAAGAACCAGTGGCTGAACTTTTGCTCATGATTGATAAACCGTTCTCACATGAAAATGAATACAACATATGGTACAAGATGAACAAGCATAAGTAAGGAGTAACAATGTGAACTGAATTACCTCCAAGTAATCAAACACTCTTATTCCTATGCGTTCGTATCCTATAGAACTGCAGATATGACATACAAGTGACGTGAACATGGCCCCCGTTTTGGAAAAATCACTTTTCAGCACATATATGATTGCCATGGAACATAAAGAGTGACGTGACGGATATTTCAGTGTGCATTTGAAAGTGTGAAAGTGAACAAAACCAATAAAACTGTGCATAAGGTGTAGATTTGTTATTGTGACAGAGGATTTAATGATGTTCTCCAAGGCCTAGCAGCAACCTACTGCCTCCTAGAGGAAGAGAAACTGACTGCCACACCACACAGTTCAGATCAAGACAAATGAATCAATTGAAATAAAAAAAAAAGCAAAAAATTATAACAAAATCAGCATTAATTAAAAAAAGAAAATAATTTAACATTCCCCAATACCAAAAGCATTGCATTCACATTTGTTAATGACATATTTATATATAAAAAAAAAAAAAGATTGTGTTTGTTTATCCATCCGGGCTCAGTAGATGGTGCGAGCAGATGCTTTGAGGTGGTAGTTAATAAAACTTTATATAATAAAAATTTAATTGATCGTGTCACCCAGGTCAATAAGAGCAAGGTGAGTTTTTTTGTTGCCTCATTCAAGGAATGCCCAGCAAACACGTTTATGATATAAACAAACATACTGATACAATATCGGACAAATACCGTTGAAAAGAACACATTGCAATTATTTCAGATTCTCAATACCATTTCAAAAATCAAACAGTACCAAAGTATTGCAGAAATGGAGCAATAAAAAGACAGACAGATTCAGCCCTTTTTCAGATTAAACTGAAGAATTAAAAATGCCCCATACAGCAAAATAAATCAACATGAATTTGAAGACCAAACAATAAATAAATGCAAACATGGAAGAAAATCTGTGATCAGATTGTAAGATTTACTGTATGAACTTCAACTTCATGGAGTCCTTTTTAAAAATTTGCACATTCCTTTGCTTTCAAAGAACATTTTAAGGTTAATGTAGAACGTATCTTTAATATGTTTACAAATTTTATTATCTTACATATTCATTAAATGAAGTGCAGTCCAGTAGACATGCAATTGGTACTTTTTTTTTAAAAAATAGTAAAATTTTACTATTAAATAATTTTCCATTTGCGACTTTTTGTATGTTAAAATCCATCAAAAAAAAAAAAAAATAAATAAAAGAACACCGACCTCAGTGAAATGACTGACCAAAAAAGCACTATCAATGTCTTGGATTTTTTTGCAGAGCGACAATACAAACTATCAGGTAAAAAAAAACTAAGGTGATCACCTGATATTGCTTAGTGGTTCATTTCAGGAACAACACGTGTATATATAAACAAAACAAAAACAAACGAACAAACATGTTATTCCTTCAAAAACCAAACAAATACATAAACCAAAAAAACATACAGACAAAAACCAGCAAGTTGAGGATAGTTGAACTGGACTGCATAAATTATGCAAATAAATCACATCTGGAAACATGGAAGGGACCGACCATCTGCAACATTTTGAAAAACAGTTTGTTTTTAGGATTAAAAAAAGTAGCTTTTTTTCCTAGATTAGCAGCAAAACCGTTAACAAGTCATGCACAAGTAATACTGTTAACTGGCCAATTTTGAGTGATTTCATTGGCAGTCTGATTTGATTTGGATTGCAAAATTTCCCCACCTCACACAAAGACTCCAGGTTAAAGGTCTATCATTTGTACTTTTTCCTAACGAATGTGCCCGAAATTTCTCAATGAGCAATCAATGCACCTGAGCCCCTTCCAGCCGATTCCCAGTGCAATTCCCACAAATGTGTCATTGCAAAAATTTCATTTTTTTTGAATAAACAGGACTTGACAGTTTTCAGACACTGTTTTCAATGGAGGAAAAAAAAAAAAACGGTACAAAGTTTCAAGATGGACCAAAATCAAAACCCATCGCCAGATACTGCGCCAGGAGTAGTGAACAAAACACAAACCACTTTCACAATGTTTGGCCTTCCACAACTAAATTCCCACCTCGATTCTTCCATGGGAAGAGATATGAAAAGTAGAGATCAGGTCTAATTATATATATACGCCGATATATTTGTAAAAACGAGCTGGCTGTAAATTAAGCTGAATCTTGGATTCTGTGAGCCACTAGAGTTTGGTTTGGTTTGTTCCGCAAGCAGCGATGGTTTCCAAAGTGTAGCATGCAGCCTCTGCCGCAAAACCTGTAGAGATGATTCAATACTACATTAACAGGACGACGCTTGAAATCCAGTGAAGAGCCTCCGTGATATCCGTAGGAGAGCCACAGGACCGTAAAATCATGGAGAAGGTGATCTAAAGAGCCACATTTGGTTAACGAGTTCATATCTGTTTTAACAAATTCATTAATTTGACAGTTTCAATTGTTTATAGGAATCCCTGGTGATTTGAACGTACAATACGGAGTGTGTTGGTGGAAATGCTAGGAAATGGCCTCAATCTGGTAAGAGCAGTCGTCCAGATGAGGGGTAGGTTTGGCTTCAGTAGTGCTCTTAGGTTTGGGAGGCCAGTCGGGATCCACGCTCAGCTCTTGGGCCAGGTGCATGTACCGAGCCTTGGGCACTTTTTTCTGCCGGCAGCAGAGCCAGGAGAGGCATTTAGTTCCAAACAGGTCTATTCCTCCCTATAGACACACGCACACACACACACACACACACACAGGCCAGGGGGGAACACAGGGGGAAGCGGAGAGGAAAAGATAAGTCATCTGTTTTTATAATTTCCTTCAAAAGGACAGAATTCAAATCTGCAATGGAAACACTAAACTATAACAAAATAAAATGATATATATTCATCTGGAGAAACGGATTTGGTTTGTCTGTACAGTATGCCATGCCTCTGAGCACATGCAAGGATAATGACTCTTTATGCTTATTCAAATTAATACCAAATTTCAATGAAATATAGATGCTTGCTTTAGCTACTTTTTAAGCTCAAATGGCATTAAAAAGAATGTTCCGGGTTCAGATCCATAGCGTGCTGTCAGTTGCCACAAAAAATTATTTATTTTGACTTGTCTTGAGTTTTTAAAAACAAGCAAAAGTTGTGTATAAAGTAATGCGCTTACAATGCAAGTATATGGGGTAGGACACTGCATTGAGATGTTAAAAAACGTATGACGTAATGACGTATGTATTATAAGTGTTAAAATGGACCTAGTGTGACAAAACCACTAATATACCAAATGCACAGTTATATCCATATTTTGACCCTCTAATTCCACACAATGTGTGCACATCTTCTTCCAGGAATCAAATTGGTAAAGTATGAACAGAAGTTCATTCACCTGTTGGCATATTTTGGAATTGAAGCATTAATATAAGTGCTTCAACAAAATTGAGCATTGCTTTTCATTTTGTAAACCCTTCTGGAGTTCCTGCTCCATGGGCTTCCATTGTAACTGCATTCCTGTAAACAACTTATGCTTGTTTTCACAACCTTATCAAAATTGTTTTTGGTGGTAATCAAAGGCAGGCCACAGATACTGTCAATAGAGCTCGTTTTAAACCCGGAACATTCCTTTAAAGGAATATTCCAGGTTATTTGCAATTTAAGGTCTATTTTAACTTAATGGCAAGCTCAAAAAGGTAAACCAAGTTACTTTCTCAGTATCAGTGATGTTATTGTTTACTAAAACTATTAAAAATCATTTTATAAAATTGTTAAATAAATAAAAAAAATATAAAGGGGTCATATGATGCGATTTCAAGTTTCATTATTTTGTGTATTTGGTGTAACACTAAAGTCTCAAATCCAAAGAGATATTCTTTA